TATCATCCAACAAGTCCCTCTTTTAAGAATGAGTGAGTCAAGCCACCTGCTCACCGTCTGAGGATAGAAAGACAACACAAAAAAACCTGCTGCAGTTTGTGGTCAGGCAGCTCCAGTGTCATTCACGTGTCCCCCGCAAGACATGGCTATGCTAGGGGAAGGTTTGTCCCTTCTGAGCAACTGGAAGGCCTGAAGTTCATTTGAAAGAGCTTTCGCATTTTTTACTATCATCTACCAAAACGTGAGAAACTTCGAAGACGCGAGTGGTTCCTTAGGTCTGCTTTGCAGAGAGCGCGTCGCAAAATCAAATTCTCGGCATGTGCGATGGACTTCTGTCAATAACCTACAATTCGAGAGCGGCAGAAACCGCGCCATGTGTGGTAAAGTAAAAATATGTGCTCTTCACACTCACTCTTTTCGCGTTTACCTCTTCTTTCCATCAATGCTTTTCAGATATATCCGGCCGAGGGGAATTATGTTGATTCCAAAATGATCGATATATGTAATATATAACCATGTTCTGTAACATGGTTTGAAACCATGCAAGGGAACATAGTTATATATCTCCTGTATTGATCAGTTTTGAAGTCGCAGTGTCTTCCCCAAAACCTCACTCCATTCATTGCATCCTGCAGGCAGTGTTGTGTTTGTGGGATCTCTCCCCGGCCTCTTGGTGGCTGGCTGGGTGCTCGGCCGGCTGGGTCGCCGAAGGAGCATGGCTCTGGGCGCGGCGCCGGGCCTCCTCGGGTGGGTTCTGGTGGCTCTCGCGGCGAATGTATCCATGTTAACGGTCGGCCGGTGAGAATCACAACGCGATCATTGTTTCTCTGGTGCAAATGACCATACAGTATGTAGAGCGATGACATATAAGTGAAATTAAAATAGCTATTCAAAGAGGCTCTGCTTATACTACTTCCATGTTGCAGGATGTTGCAAGGCTTCACCTTAGGGATGGTGTCTGTAGCAGCCACGACCTACATCACAGAGCTGCCCGACGCGTCGATCCGTGGCTTCGCTTGCGTCCTTCCAACCTTGTTCTCCGAAGCGGGAAACCTCTTTGTCGCCAGTCTCTCGCTTGTGCTGCCTTGGCACCACCTGGCCTTTGTCTGCGCCTCCGTCACCGTTCTCTTCATTGCCATTACATTCCTATTGCCAGAGAGTCCCTCCTATCTCGTGGTTTGCAAAGAAGAATCACGAGCTCGCAAAGTCCTCGCCATGTTGCGAGGTCCTGATGTCGACGTGGAGGAAGAGCTGAGGATACTCAAGAAGCAGAATGAGGGTCTGGTGGGCGACAATCCCGACTGGCGGTCGCTCCTGAAGGGCGTGGTCGTCCGGCGGGTGCTGGTGGTCGTGGCGCTCTTCCTCATCCAGAGCTTCAGTGGCCTCATGGTCTTCGTCTCAAATGCGTCGAGAATCCTCCGCTCTGTCGGCTCGGCGATGGACGAGAGACTTAGCACTATCGTCGTCTTTGGGGTAGAGCTGCTGGGATGCGCCTGCTCGTGCTGCCTGCAGGATCGCATCGGCCGGCGGAGGTCCGTGGTCCTCTCCCTTGTGGTCATGGCTGCCGCCCTTGTCGCCATGGGCACGTACGCCTTCTTGGCCGGCAGCGCGGCGCCGGCGGTCCTGGAGGTGGCGGATCTGCCGGACCAAAGCCTCAACATCACCTTCTACCTTCATGTGCCTCGGTAAGGGGGAGTTATGGACAGGTATGGGGATCTTCGTAATGGTCTTAAAACACTGAACATGTTCAATAATGATCGAAAGTAATTCAATATATAACTACCAAAATTAGCTTCACAGTCCAGGTTTCTCACTATCTTCAGAGATGAGGGCGAGCAGCTAAGAGTTGGCGCCGAACCAAGCATGGGTGTGGGCTTGGCCGGATGGGAGTGGGTGCCTTTAACGTGCCTGGTCATATACATGTTCATCATGTGCCTGGGCATCCGCACCGTGCCCTACATCTTGGCATCGGAATACTTCCCAACGACCATCAGGCCTCAAGTGAGCACAATAAATATCCTTTGGCTCCACAGAAGGCTATTCAATTGTGTAAAATTAGACTTATAGGCATTTTTTTTTTATATTCCTTCCTCTTTGCCATTTTCTTCTTCAAATTGATATCACTGTTATAATAATTATCACTGTGGATTTTGTAATTTATATCTATGTTAGACATTTGCGTGTATATACACACACACACACATTTACATATGCATACACATACACACATACATACACACACGCACACACCACCCACGGGTCTCGACGGAACCTCTTCGGACCATAAACTCTCGTTTTCTCTCGCAGGCCACGAGTGTGTGCATGACATTCGCCAGCCTCATTATCTTCGTGGCCCTCCAGACGTACAGCCTGCTCCTGGAAGCGCTCACGCAAGCCGGCCTGTACTGGACCTACGGCGCCGTGGCGGCCGGCGGGGCACTCTTCTCCCTTGTCTTCATAACGGAAACCAGTGGCAAGACCGTCGGCTGAGGTCTGGCGGAGAGACCATCGGCTGAGGTTTGGCGGAGAGACCGTCGGCTGAGGTTTGGCGGAGAGACCGTCGGCTGAGGTCTGGCGAAGAGACCATCGGCTGAGGTTTGGCGGAGAGACCGTCGGCTGAGGTTTGGCGGAGAGACCGTCGGCTGAGGTCTGGCGGAGAGACCGTCGGCTGAGGTCTGGCGGAGAGACCATCGGCTGAGGTTTGGCGGAGAGACCGTCGGCTGAGGTTTAGCGGAGAGACCGTCGGCTGAGGTCTGGCGGAGAGACCATCGGCTGAGGTCTGGCGGAGAGACCGTCGGCTGAGGTTTGGCGGAGAGACCGTCGGCTGAGGTTTGGCGGAGAGACCATCGGCTGAGGTCTGGCGGAGAGACCGTCGGCTGAGGTCTGGCGGAGAGACCGTCGGCTGAGGTCTGGCGAGAGACCGTCGGCTGAGGTTTGGCGGAGAGACCGTCGGCTGAGGTCTGGCGGAGAGACCGTCGGCTGAGGTCTGGCGAAGAGACCGTCGGCTGAGGTTTGGCGGAGAGACCGTCGGCTGAGGTCTGGCGGAGAGACCGTCGTCTGAGGTCTGGCGAAGAGACCATCGGCTGAGGTTTGGCGGAGAGACCATCGGCTGAGGTTTGGCGGAGAGACCGTCGGCTGAGGTCTGGCGGAGAGACCGTCGGCTGAGGCCTGGCGGAGAGACCGTCGGCTGAGGTCTGGCGGAGAGACCGTCGGCTGAGGTCTGGCGGAGAGACCGTCGGCTGAGGTTTGGCGGAGAGACCGTCGTCTGAGGTCTGGCGAAGAGACCATCGGCTGAGGTTTGGCAGAGAGACCGTCGGCTGAGGTCTGGCGGAGAGACCGTCGGCTGAGGTTTGGCAGAGAGACCGTCGGCTGAGGTTTAGCGGAGAGACCGTCGGCTGAGGTCTGGCGGAGAGACCGTCGGCTGAGGTTTGGCAGAGAGACCGTCGGCTGAGGTCTGGCAGAGAGACCGTCGGCTGAGGTTTGGCAGAGAGACCGTCGGCTAAGGTTTGGCGGAGAGACCATCGTCTGAGGTCTGGCAAAGAGACCATCGGCTGAGGTTTGGCGGAGAGACCGTCGGCTGAGGTTTGGCAGAGAGACCGTCGGCTGAGGTCTGGCGAAGAGACCATCGGCTGAGGTTTGGCGGAGAGACCGTCGGCTGAGGTTTGGCGGAGAGACCGTCGGCTGAGGTCTGGCGGAGAGACCGTCGGCTGAGGTCTGGCGAAGAGACCATCGGCTGAGGTTTGGCGGAGAGACCGTCGGCTGAGGTTTAGCGGAGAGACCGTCGGCTGAGGTCTGGCGGAGAGACCATCGGCTGAGGTCTGGCAGAGAGACCGTCGGCTGAGGTTTGGCGGAGAGACCATCGGCTGAGGTTTGGCGGAGAGACCATCGGCTGAGGTCTGGCGGAGAGACCGTCGGCTGAGGTCTGGCGGAGAGACCGTCGGCTGAGGTCTGGCGAAGAGACCGTCGGCTGAGGTTTGGCGGAGAGACCGTCGGCTGAGGTCTGGCGGAGAGACCGTCGGCTGAGGTCTGGCGAAGAGACCGTCGGCTGAGGTCTGGCAGAGAGACAGTCGGCTGAGGTCTGGCGGAGAGATCATCGGCTGAGGTTTGGCGGAGAGACTGTCGGCTGAGGTTTGGCAGAGAGACCGTCGGCTGAGGTTTGGCAGAGAGACCGTCGGCTGAGATCTAGCGAAGATCGGCGGAGAGACCGTCAGCTAAGATCTAGCGAAGATCGGCTGAGGTCTGAGGCTGAGGCCACAGCCAGCAGCAAAACTATCGGCTGTGGCCACCTGCAAGGCCATCGGCTGTGGCCAGCGGCAAAGCTATCGGCTGTGGCCAGTGGCAAATCGATCGGATGTGGCCACCTGCAAGACCATCGGCTGTGGCCAGCGGCAAAGCTATCGGTTGTGGCCACTGGCAAGACCATCGGCTGTGGCCAGTGGCAAATCTATCGGTTGTGGCCATCTGCAAGACCATCGGCTATGGCCAGCGGCAAAGCTATCGGCTGTGGCCACCGGCAAGACCATCGGCTTTGGCCAGCGGCAAAGCTATCGGCTGTGGCAAAGCTATCGGCTGTGGCCACCGGCAAGACCATCGGCTGTGGCCAGCGGCAAAGCTATCGGCTGTGGCCACCGGCAAGACCATCGGCTGTGGCAAAGCTATCGGCTGTGGCCACCGGCAAGACCATCGGCTGTGGCCAGCGGCAAAGCTACCGGCTGTGATCACCGGCAAGACCATCGGCTGTGCCCAGCGGCAAAGCTATCGGCTGTGACCACCGGCAAGACCATCGGCTGTGCCCAGCGGCAAAGCTATCGGCTGTGACCACCGGCAAGACCATCGGCTGTGGCCAGTGGCAAGACCGTTGGCTAAAGCCGGCTGTCAAATCAGTGGCAGAATCTGGACTCCCAGGCTCAGGATTGCTTGTCTACCTCATCGCGAGTGATGTTAATTGCTCTGTCTAAACTGCTTTGTACCATGTTGTTTTAGTGTGTAATAGACATTTT